GCAAACAGGACCCCCAGAAAAAAAAAAAAAAAAAAAAAAAAAAAAAATCCCTATCCTTCTGCCTCCACCTCTCCAGAGCTGTGGTGACAGGCCTACACCATCACTGCCCTTGGTCCCCAGTCACTGCTTCTAAGCTCAAGGGTTTTTATTTCATCTCCACTAACTCTGTGTGAAGTCACTTCGCCAGCTGTGGGAGCTGGACAAGTTTTATTCTGATGTCTTCTTTGGAGACCCCCTAATTTTCTGGGAGATCCTTTACCCCCAAAGAGCCTGATGGTTACAAAGACTCTTGAGCCCCTTGTGGGCTGTGTCTCATCCCTGGCGATTGCCCCTATCTCTGGCACTTGGGAGTATGGCCTGGGGAAAAATCTTGTTTGCTTACTCCTTTCTGCAATCAATTGGAACCTAAGGGACAGTAACATAATGCTGACAGTCCCAGAGGAACAGCCAAGTCAGCCTGGCCAATGCCTCAAAGGAACAGGGATCTAGGAACAAACAGCCTGGACCACACTCAGCTGGTAAACTTAGCCATCCCTTAGGGTAGTGTTGTGCCTGGAGATGTGTTTCCCTCTTTGACCCAGTTTCCCTAACTATAAAATGCAGTTGACTATCACTGCTACTGGCCACTCCATCATAGCAGTTTCTGGACCTAAAGAGTCTTGACTGGAGATGTGGCTCAGTAGAGTGTTTGTCTAGCATGGATGATGCGATGGGTTTGACCTCCAGTGCCACAGAAACCAGATGTGTCCTGTGTGCCTGTGACCCCAACATTGAAAATGTAGACACCAGATCAGGAGCTCAAGGTCATCCTCAGCTGTTTAGTGAATTTGAGACCAGCCTGAGATATATTAAACCCTGTCTCAAAAATCAGGGCTGGTGAAATGGCTTGGTAGAAAAGGTACCTGCTACACGGTAGAAGGAGAGAAAGTTGTCCTCTGACTGTGAGTATACACACAAATAATAGAATGAAAGTAAAAAGGATTAAATCAGTAAAATATCTGTGTCTACAAGACACAATTACAGAGCACCTGCTATGTAGTAGCTCCCCCTTGCTAAGAACCCTGGAGCCTCAGTTTCCCCTCCTCAGAATAGGGTTAATGGTTCCTACCTAGCTGGATTGGCAGGAGGGAGTCCTTGCTGCTGGGGGCAGTGGGTGGCTTCTTGCTTGATAAGATGACATTTGTGTTTCCAAAGCACAAGGTCACTACACCAGGCTTAGCAGTACTTGATAGAAATAGAGCTCTCCCAGGAAACTGGGCATGGTGTGGTCTGCTTGTCCTAAAGCATGTTTTATCTGTGGCTGCAGGATGGGAAGCTGGGCAAGTAGCCAGCTTTCTGTCCAGCTTGCTAGGGATCTGCTTCAGGTAACCATCTAGTCACAAAGCTCAATTATGACCTGGCTCCTCTGACCTCGATGTTTGTGCCATGGTCCTTGAGTGTATGCATGCACTCTTGTGCACTCAAGAGTGCACACACACACACACACACCACTCAGCCAGTTGGCACACATAATCTCAGCACTCCAGAGGTAGAGGCAGGGGGATCAGAGAGGTTCAAGGCCAACCTGGACTTCACAGGGCTCAGAGAGCTTGCTAAGCATCACAAGAATCCAGAGTTCAAATCCTCAGCGCCCATGTATAGGCCAGTAAGTAGCCCCAGTGCTATGCAGAGCAAAAGCAGGAGGGGGGCACTGGGCTGCAGGCCACCAGCCTAGCTCTGAGTGACATGAGAGACACTGTCTCCAGGGAATGAAGCAGGACACTGGATGTCCTTCTCTGACCTCTACCCATTCAGATATAGACATATGCACCTCTGTACACAAGCATGTGTGCATACGCCGCACGGATACATCTATACACTTGCAGACACACATACCAGCAAACAAAAAGAACAGCCCTCAGGCAAAGGTCAGGGCTCTGTATCAGAGCACACTTGCTCAATGTTTCTGAGGCTCCTGGATTTCCTCCCCAGCACCATAAAAATAACACTAAATAAAAACTGCAGTTGTTGCTGGGTGTGGTAGCAAATGCCTTTAATCCCAGCATTCGGGAGGCAGAGGCAAAGGATCTCTGTGAGTTCAAGGCCAGTCTGGTCTACAGAGTGAGTTCCAGGACAGGCAGGGCTACACAGAGAAACCTCGTCTCAAAAAAACAGAACAATCCTCAGTCTTGAGGTTCTGCCTGTAGGCTCTACTGTCCCCCAAATCATAAGCCAGATCCACCCGAGGGGGCCTTTAGTGTGCAGCCCTCCTTAGGCTAGGGGTGCAGGGGACAGGGGCACCTTGCTCGGCTCTCTCTAAAATAAGCTGAGCCAGATGAGAGCGAGACCCCAGCTGTGAACACAACCTCCTAAGAAGCTGCATGTATCTGGCTGTGAAGGAAAACTCCCCACAGGAGCCTGTGTCTGTGAAGACTGGTGAGCTGGTTAGAACCTCGAGACAGTGGAGAAGTTGGAATGTTGCCAATCCAGAGGTGAACTCCCTTATCATCTATATGAAAATCAACATCTTGTGACAACAGATAAAAAGCTGATTACTGATTTAGCAAGCCACCTAGCTCCTATCAATCCCAACAGATGTCATCGGATAGCATTTTAGGCCTATGGAATAGTTTCTGCCATCTCGCTGTCCCTGCCTCCCTGAAGTACCAGCCAATGAATTTTAAACTTGCCTTAATGGATGACTGCCTCTGTTCTTCAAAACTATACAAACTCCGTGAAACTGCTTCTATGTTGGAACATGGAATCTGGGGTTACCTAAGTCTGTGTTCCCAGGTCATGGTCACTCAAAGTGGTTCCAGAACTTATTTTGAGCTGGGTAAGAAAGTTCCTACTTTGGTAGATATGTTTTTGGTCTGCTTTCAAAGAACTTGGTGTAGGTATCTAGTTTGTTTTCTTTGAAAGCATTCCAGTCTGGATTGTTTGGCTTGTTGCTTGCCTTCGGCTCTCGAAAGCCAGTTTAGATTCTGACTGATTAGCTTGTTTTCAGAAATTTCCTTTGATTTTGGAACTTTGAAGGCATTTTGGTTTTTGTTTTAGTAGTCTTGGTTTTCATTGTCTTTGAAATATTTTCATTTATTGTCATTTGGCCTTTGTTACCTGACATTCCTCCTCAGATTCATAGTTAGTTCTGCTCTTCCTTCTGCTTGCCTGTGACTTTGGTAAGCCTTTAGTTTAGGAATTTTACGGGTGCCTGGTGATAAAAAGACACCAAAACAAGAGGCATTTGTTCCTTCCCACCCAAGAGTGTGCAGGTGTCAGGAAGGACCCCTCCAGGATGTACAACAGTATCAGCCTTGTAGGGAAATGCAACAAACATACTGGTCCCCAGGTCAGAAGTGTCTGTGCTGGTTTGCCCTAGAAGACATAAATGAAGACTGGCTGCCCAGTGTCTGAGCTGTGTAGGACACCCCAAGTCCCAGTAGGGGAAGACATCTGGGGTTGAAGGCAGCACATAAATTGACCCAAAACACATTCCCTAGCTAGAGTAGATAGGCAACTTTTCAGGAGAAAAGAAAAATGGAAATGGAGAACAAAGTTTCACAGAAGGAAGAAATGCTCCCAGCTCAACTGCCACTAGGTACTCTAACCGGCCTGGTGCATGGTAATTATTAACTTGCATGTATTAGGGAAAATAGGTAACTACCCCAAACTGGTTTATCTTGCTTGCTTAACAAAGTAAGTCCTAGGCAATCAAGTTATCTCCTTAAACAAATAAGCAAAATTTTAAAATCCACAAACAGGCAGCCTGCTTTAATTAAAATGTAAAATATCTGTTAACCGGGCATTGGTGGCACGCGCCTTTAATCACAGCACTCAGGAGGCAGAAGCAGGCAGATCTCTGAGTTCGAGGTCAGCCTGGTCTCCAGAGCCAGTACCAGGATAGGCTCCAAAAAGAAAGCTACACAGAGAAAACCTGTCTCGAAAAACCAAAAAAAAAAAAGAACTCTTAAAAAAAATCAGGAGCAGGCTGGAGAGATGGCTCAGAGGTTAAGAGCACTGACTGCTATTCCAGAGGTCCTGAGTTCAATTCCCAGCAACCCCGTGGTGGCTCACAACCATCCGTTACAAGATCTGGTGCCCTCTGCTGGTGTGCAGATATACATGGAAGCAGAATGTTGTATACATAATAAATAAATAAAATGTAAAAAAAAAATTCAGGAGTGACGGGCAGTGGTGGTGCACGCCTTCAGTCCCAACACTTGGGAGGCAGAGGCAGGCGGATCTCTGTGAGTTCGAAGTCAGCCTGGTCTACAGAGCAAGTTCCAGGACAGGCTCCAAAGCAATATAGAGAAACCCTGTCTCGGGGGGAAAAAAAAAATCATGAGCTCTCCAGACTTGGGCTTAGGTTCCAGCAACATGGCTAAACACACCAAAAAGGTCCAGGTCCTTGGGAAATACCGGACCCGCTATGGTGCCTCCCCCTGGAAAATGGTGAAGAAAATTGAAATCAACCAGCATACCAAGTACATATGCTTGCCAAGTACATACAGCAAGACCAAGATGAAGAGACAAGCCGTTGGCATCTGGTACTGTGGTTCCTGCATGAAAACAGTGGCTGGTGGGGCCTGGACCTACAACACTACTCCTGCCGTCACAGGGAAATCTGCTATCGGAAGACTGAAGGAACCAAAAGACCAGTAGAAGTGTTACCACCTGAGACCTGCCTAATAAATGGGTTAATTTAAATAAAAAAAACACGAGTTAAATTAGAAAACTTAAGGACTAATCAAAAGAAATTTTTAAAGTTTATAACAACGGACCTTGCTTATTTTTGTTTGTTTGTTTTTGGTAGTTCAAGACAAGGTTTCCCTGTGTAGCCCTGGTTGTCCTGGGATTCACTCTGTAGACCAGGTGGTCTGGAACTCACAGAGATCCACCTGCCTCTTTCTCCCGAGTGCTTGGTTAAAGGCGTGCGCCACCACTGCCTGGCTTTACTTTGATTTACGAGGTTTCCCTTAGCAGCTTTTGGGTTTTTTCTTTTGACTCTGCTTGCACACTGAAACATCTCAGCTCGGTCAGCAGGGGTATCCCTACAGCTTCGGGGACCACCTCAAGCTGTTGAAGATAAGTGAAGCTAAATCTGCTTCTCCCACAATATCCTGGGACTTCATTGAGACCCATCTTCAAGCATCTTGGTGAAGTTCCCTGCGTTTCATTTGACTGATGGATCCTGTTAAACGTGGGTTCTATATTCCTTTGCTCTTTTTTTCCAAACAAGAAACTCACTGAACATTTGCATGCCAGCAGCATCACAAATAGACATTTCCCTAGGCCTGTCCATACTCTGCTCCCTGTCATACAACACATGGTGTTTCTGGAGAACATCACACATTCTGATCCATGTGTGGCTGATCTGACAGATATAAAGACTCTAAAGACACATTTTGTGTCTGTCAGTCTGACAGCCTGCTGAAGAATGGCCCCAAGGCTAGTGGAGTTTCCCTAAGATCTCATTCCGGGTAAGGCAAGGGTGTCAGATAGGGAGGAGACCTGTCTTTCTGAAAGAGTCTGCAGACAATTCCAGCAACCTGTCAGACACCTGACAGGGTAGAGACTAAAGCCGACAAAGATGAGTCAGTGGTGGGTTGCTTGGATAATCACATCCTTGTCTCTATTAAACTTTCTCTTACTTTGGGACCCTAAAGATGTACTTGAAGGGTTTGCTGGACCTCTGTCCCCCACTTCCCAGTGTGAAAACATTGAATAAGTCTCCCTTTTCTGCTTTTTACCTTTTGTTGTTTTGGTTTGGTTTTGAAACAGGGTTTCTCTGTGTAACCTTGACTGTTCTGGAACTCACTATGTAGACCAGGTTGACCATGAATTCACAGAGATCTGCCTGCCACTGCCTCTGAGTGCTGAGATTAAAGGTGTGTGTCACCACTGCCTGGCTCTGCTTTCTACTTTTAACTGGCTTATTGTAGAAGGGTGACTAGACCTGACTTGGCACAAGTTGTGACCACCAAGTCACCTGCTAGAAAGCAGTCTGGGACACACACACACACACACACACACACACACACACACACACACACACACCCCTATTCCATCTTGTATGTGCGGCTGTCATTCCAGGCAATCTCTTCCACCTTCCTGAATCCTCCTATAACACACTCCCTACCACACTCCTTGATGGCCTCACGTTTGTGCACAAGATCCTGGCCTCATCATTCCCATAGCATAGTCCTGAGAGGCAGAAAGGCAGATGGTGTTAGTATTTAGGCATTTTACTGGCCTGCCCTTGGAGTTCTGACAGGATACACCCTCAGCTGCAGCCAGTAAGAGCACCACCTGTGCCTATTCACTATGCTCCCTCTTTAAAAAGCTCTGCCCACCTCCCATCCAACTCTTTCTCTCCCTTTCTCTTTCTCTTTTTCTTTGTCTCTCTCCCTCTCTCTCTCTCTCTCCCTTTCTTTCTTTCTTTCTTTCTTTCTTTCTTTCTTTCTTTCTTTCTTTCTTTCTTTTGTAGCCCAGGGTGGCCTCGACTCATGATCCTCCTGCCTCTGCCTCCTTCAGCAAATCCTACCAGTGTGCACCACTACAACTGGCGGTCTGCCTCTCTTTCCTCTCTCCCACTGCTCCTGTCCTCAGAGGCCAATCTTCCCCTCCCATTCCCCTTTTTTATGATTCCTTTCCCCTAATGAAAAACCCATCCACTTGAACTCTGCCTGGTATCTTTCTCTGTCTCAGATGGAGGCAGTGACAGGCAGAATGACCAAGAAAAGCCACTGCTGACAGCCTAAGAGTAGAGATCCTAGCAGGGAAGAGCAGGTCCTGGTGGCACATGCCTGTAGTTCCAGCACCAGGAAGGTAAAGGCAGGTGTTGGAGGCTGTTAGTTGGAGACCTGTCTGGGCTACAGAGCACAACTATTGATCTGTAACAACAGAGAAAACCAGCAACAAAGTGGTAGGGTGCTTGCCTGGCATACACCCTGGGTTCAGTTCTCAGTACTGCAACCCCCTCCCCAACAATTCCAGTAAATTTTGAGCTGATGTGCTGTTTACACACCTGTAATCCCAGCACTCAGGAAGCTTGGAGGTAGAGACCAGAGGACCAGGAGTTTAAGGCTGCATGGGTTACCTGAGATTCTGTCTCAAAAAATCAAAACCCAACAACACAATCCTCAGTGCAGAGATTGAAGCCACTCCCTGAGGCAGGGTGGCTCCACCACCAGTGTCTATGGATGGCCCCAAGTCACCAGGAAAGGCCCAGAGGCCCAGCAGCCATTTAGAAAGACAGATAGATGCAGGAAATACCTGCCTCCAAATGGCAGGGATAAAAATAAGGTTCAAGGCAGGTTCTGTCACCCTAGAACACCAACAACATGACAAAGCCATTCCCCACGGCCTGTAGGTCACCTCTGGACAGAGAAGGCACTAATACTAAGTCAGCACAGGCCTTGTGGTGGTGCATTTTTGTATAGCTTGGAGAAGCCTGTCCTCACACTGGCTGTAGATAGTGGCAGTGGCAGCCTCCTAGGCCTGAGGACACCATGTTTCCAAGTCCTAGGGACCAAGGTGTCCTCTCTGCGTTTCTCTTCTTCCCAAGCCACTAGGGACACAGCCAAGCTGCCTGTCCAGAGCTGGAGTTGGAACCAGAAGTCCTGGCCACTTGATGTTGCATCTGGCTTGATTGTGTGGCCTTCGTCCCTCTCAGTCCCTCTCTGAGCCCCAGACGGGAACAACAGGAAGTTGCTAAGTAACTGTGCCCTTAAACACTACCCTCTGACACACATCTCAAGAGCAAGCATGTAGATTTACAACCTGTCCTGACACCTAGAGAGAAACACCGTGGTGTCTCTACAGCATCATCCACAGCAGTCCAGGGGGAGGAGAACACAGGTGGTGTCTAGGGTTCTAGAAAGAGTCACTAGCCGCCCAAAGTACGACAGGTACTGCCCATACAGGTGTCCCCTGGGATAATGAAGCCAGCGGCACCAGCAGCAAAGAGTGGGCAGAAGGGCGGGCAGAACCCATCTCTGCTAGAGCTCCCAGCCCCAGCCTCATGGCTGTCAGCCGGCAGGGGGAAGGTCACAGGCCTACAGCAAAGTCCCAGCCACGAGACACCAGCACCATTAATAATCCTGATCCCATCTCAGGTGGTGCTAAAATTAATCATGACTGAGCAAAAGGCTGTTTTTAGCTCATGTATGTGTGGATGTTGGTTTTTCTAAACAGGGTTTCCCTGGGGTCCTGGAACTTACTTTGTAGACCAGGCTGGCCTCTAACTCACCGTGTGTGTGTGTGTGTGTGTGTGTGTGTGTGTGTGTGTGTGTGTGTGTGTGTACATGCATGTGTGTGCATGTTAAGCACCCTCCTCATGACTATATTTTCAGGATCCCCTCTCTAGGCAGGGTTAGGGAGTACAGATGATTTCTACATGTGTCTCCTGAAAAATAAAGCAAAAAAAAAAAAAAAAAATCAAATCAAACCAAACCAACAAAACAAAACAAAATGGTGACAGAAACCTGATTCTAAGACTATGTATGGACTTGGGGTTTCTGACAGTCACATACAAGCCACCATGCAATGACGAGGAAATGACGCTGAGCCGGTGCTGCACAACCACACCTGACACACTTGTTTTGTTTTTGTGTTTCTCCATGTGGCCAGCCATCCTCACATACTTAACCCCCTTCGCCTTATTTGTTTATGTTACTGTTTTGTTTTTTGAGGCAGGATCTCACTATGTAGCCCTGGCTGTCCTGGAACTCACTATGTAGACCAGGCTGGCTTGGAACTCACAGAGATTCATCTTCCTCTGCATCCTGAGAGCTGGGATTGAAAATGTGGGGCTCCTGGCTGGGTATGGGCAGTGACTTCTCCTCCTCCTCCTCTTCCTTCAGATCTACTTATTTTATTTTTGTGTGTATGGGTTTTGGCTACATGTGTGTCTGTACACCACACACACACCATGCCTGTGGAAGCCAGAAGAGGGCCCTGGATCCCCTGGGACTGGAGTTGCAGACCCTTGTGAGCTGCCATGTGGGTGCTGGGAATGGAACCCTGGTCCTGTGGAAGAGCAGCCCCTGCTCTTAAGGGCTGAGCCATCTCTCCGTCCCCAGGTATGGGCTTCTTATGAGAGAGACCCAGGGTTTCTTTTGATTTTAAGGAATATGCCTATTATCCCTCCCTTGCCATAGGCTGTGGGTCATGTGCAGGAAAATGAGTACAGAGAAGCCTTGAACTTTTTTTTTCTCTCCCTTGACCTGGTAGCAGGACTCTAGCGAAGAGGGACCATCCTGGAGCTGCCTGGAGTTGACCACAGCTCCCTCCTCAGCATTTCCTGGGGATCAGTGAAGCAGCTGTCAGAGCTGGCCAACTCTGAAGTCACAGGATTCTGGCAGAGCCGAGGAAGTGACTCCACCTCAGCTGTTGGCTCCTGACCCCCAGACCCCTAGAGTCAGAGACTGGGTTTCCCCACAGCCAGTGAGAAGGAAAGCAACCCTCAGGGGTGAAAAACTAAAACTAAACTGACTATATCTGAGTGACTTTTGAAGTCACCCTGCCTCACCCTGTGGAGGTCAGAGGTCAGCTCCCAGAAGTCCATTTCTCCTCTTCCACCTTGCTGAGACAGAGATTCTTGTTTTTGGCTGCTTTGCTGCTTTGCAGGCAAACTGGCTTTTGAACTCCTGGGATATTCTCCTGTCCTGGCTTCAAATCTCATTTTAG